TTGAAACCTAATATGATGAGTTAAATAGATATCTAACAATTATAAATTTAATGAAATTTGAGATTCGACAAAAATAAGAAAAAATATAAATTTCATCTAAATGAATAAAAAAATTGATGATTTAACGATAAATTGAAGCAAATTGAAATTTGAAGACAACTTATATATTGTTATTGATTTTGCAAAAATAATAATAAATTATAAACTTAAAGAATAAGGAAAGAAATGTTGAAAAATTATTCTTGAACCAATGAAACAAAAGAAAATTTTTTATTCATAGATAAGAGATAAGACATGTGTGGGGTCAAATTATAACAGATATGTGCATGCTTTTCAATTGTATAAAAGATGTTTTAGAATTGAAAAGATAACCTTTTTATAATTAAATATAATAATATTTAATAAAGTTGATGCGGTGATAATGTGAGTTGATTTAGCTTTGGAAATAAATAGTAAAATCGATGAGTTAATAGGAAATTGAATAAAAATTGAAGATCGTCGAGGTGTTAATTTGGTTTACTTGATTAATTTTAAATTGAATTATCAAAAATTAAATAAATTTAATTATTTTATTTTTTTTATTAGCCAAATCAAAATAATTAATTTTAAAAATTAACTGATCGAATTTAATTTTTTTGGTTAATCAAATAATAGCTATATTTAAATTAAATTATATTTTAAACTCTTAATTTTTTATATTTTAAATAAATTAAATAAAATTATTCTATAAAATATTTAAATATCAAAATATTATGTTAAAAACTCTAATAAGTTATGAAACAAAATTATTCATTTTATGTGTATTTCATTTCATATTTAGATTTTATTATATTTCGATTAAAATTTTGATTAATTTAATTTTTGAACTGAATTAATTAAAAATTAAAATTTTTTTAAAAATCATTTCATTAATAGATTGAAATTAATTTAATAATTAATCAATTAATCAAATTAAATTAATTATGTTAATTAATTCGATTAAAATCAAATTATGAACACTTTTAAAAAATGAGATAGCTTTTATATATTGTATAGATAGTACAGTATAGAATATAGATGCCGCAATACACTTATATTTTGATTATGTTTCAATTTTACAAAATGGCTTTAAATGATTGCTGGGATAGCTTTAATATATCTAGAATACCTTTTATCCCCTTCATCTTTATTCCCTACCATAACTAACCTCACATTTAAAATTAACTTCCAAAATCACCCCTTAAGTCAAAATTAAAGTCAAATATGATTTGACTTAAAATTCCAGACAAAATTTTTAGGGGACTACTTTAATATAATGTATAGATTTTTTTGACACAAGTATCGTTTTATTAATATTAGAAAAAAAAGATTTATTATACATTTGATCTTTAACTATACCAATTCTACCATTTTGATGGAATAAAAATTTGCAATTGAATACACCAAGTTTGCTTTTGATATATATTTTATCTTTTTAATTAACATTATCTGTTAATTGATTAACATAGTAAAAAAAATATAACAAAATCGTGACATGAGAAAAAAATTAAAACATAATAAAGAGAAAAAATTAAAAAAAATGAAAAAAAAAGAACTGCACCGATGTCCATTTTATAAATGGATATATTTTTTTAGTTAATAAAAACAAATTAATAATTTTAAGATTATCTGTCCCAAAAACTTTAGTTTAGTGGTTAAAGGGATTTGAAAGGACATCAATGATCTAATTTCGAATTAAACCTCCTCATCTCTTTTACTTGTATTAAAATTTTACTTTCTTGATGTAATAAAAAATTTAAAATTATCTATTTTCAGTCCGAATTTTCAAGAGCTTCACAAAAACTCTAAGATTTACTTCTTCATCCCCTTCAAGTTTTTACGAGATTGACAATTCTTGTTAATTTTCAAGAGTATATGTATCTTATTTATTTATATAGCACATATCAGGTCTTGAAAATATGCTTTGATAGCATATATATGCAATCTTATTTGAAATAAAATTTTAATTCAATTTATATTAAGAATTAAATAATGTTTATTTTTAAAATAGATTTGAACTTTATAAGAGAGACAAATTATTTTATATTTTTATTATTAATATTATTTCAATGAGTTTGACTTAATTTTAAGAAAAAGATTTTAAAATGTTTAGATCCACATTTAAGTTCCATTATGTGTAAATTTCATTCATAAATTTATTGTGTTTTTTTTTTAATTTTTCACGAGATTTATAAATATGACAACGATTGATAACTTGCAAGTAGTCAATTGCTTAATTGACCAAAGGGTTTGCATTATTCTTTGATCTCCTTTTTCAAAGGCAATTCTTAACCTAGAAGGAATCAAATTCTAATTTCCATATCTATCTTCGTATTTATTTTTAGGTACAAATCTATTTTAATATATTTATATGTAACATATTATATAAAGAAGTGTTCATGGATCAAGCACAAAAATTTTTGTTCAAAGCTTCGGATAAATCCACGAATAAGATAAAATATCGATCCGTAAATAAGTCTAATTATATATTAATATGAAGAGATGTTAATAAGTGTTTCTAATGAAGTACCGATTAAGGTCACATTATGTGGTGAAAATTTTGTTATTAATGAATTATCACTTCTTGAATTTGATGAAAAACTACATTTAATGAAAAAATATTTTTTAAAATAATTATTTAGTAAAAAAATGAAAATAAATAAAAATATAAAATTTATTAATCTAGTGATTAAATTATAAAAATAAAAAATAATTATAAATTTATAATAAATAAATTAACAAATTTAATATCTTCATTGTTTTCCTTTAAATTATTTTGGCTCTCTCTAAATGTGCAACAAATCCAATGTGATTTAGATATTTTGACGATGGAAATCTTTTGACATTGTGCATCTAAGACAACCATAGTATAAATATTTTTATCCAATAACGACCATCATCATATTATGTAAACGGTAATATATTTTTACTGCATATAATTTTCCTCTAACTGTGTACTTTAAATTTGATTTTAAGTGTCACTTCATCACAAATTATTAAGCAAAAATATAAATATATATTTGTTAATGCATTTTTTCGATATTAGCTAGAGGAATATAGTCTGAAAGTCGTGTGAAGGACAGCTAAGACTTGTAGCAAAAAAATACCATCAAGAAATGTAAGAATAAATTTTAAATAAATATAAATTATATTTAATAATTTTAAATAAATTAAAGGTTAATTTTATTTTAAAGTAATGTCTTGATTGATTGTTACTAAAAGTAATTGGATGAATTTTTTTTTAAATAAATTTATTTTATAATGATAAGTTCGGATTTCTATTTATAATGATGCGATAATTAAACATATCTTAATTTGATGTTAATGGAAGTTGACCTATTGATAGAGTATACAGCCACATCAATACCGAAACCATAACCATAAATCATGTACATTTAAATTAAAAAAAAAACCATATACATTTAATTAGAATAATCAAATATTGTTCAAATTATGTTACTATATTAAATTATTATTATTATACATAAGCCTTAGCACTTAAGGGAGAAAAATAGGCAGAGTGGTAGGCAGGATCCGGTGGAAGTGGGACCCATACGTCTCTCCAACTAGAAAATGAAAGATTTGTTTTGTTTGACAGTGATACATAATTCTGTTGTACTTTTAATAAAAAAATGTATATTATGAATCAAATTTTTGGAGTTTAACGAGAAGATGCGGCCCAGCTCAGCTCAGAGGGAAGATCCTCAGATAGACCCGCCTTGGCCGCAACATGCGGCGCAGATTCAGCTGTTGGGATGGGACCCCCACCCCTCTCCCAATTTATCATCTCTTTGCATATTTCTCTATTTCAAGCGACACGATAATTAGACTAGATAACCCTTATTACTAAATATTATTTTTTAAATTATAATGATAATTAAGTATTTATTTATATATAAAAAATTAATAAATTATTAATTAATAAATTAAAATATAACTAAATAATTTTAATATAAAATAAAATATAAATATAAATATAATGAAATTTGAATTTAAAATTTTAAGATTTTTTATCATTAAACAAATATTTTATTGGCTAGTCTCAATTTATTAATTTTTTATTTCCATAAAATTTTAAAAAGGTACACGTTTAAAAATATATATTATATTAAATAAATGAAAATATATGAATAATCTTATTTTATTATTTGATATTGTAATTTTATTTGATTTATTTGTATTTCTTTTAATGGAATTGGGGTTACTTGACTTTTAACACTAAACTCATATTTTATAAATAGTATAGACAAATATCACTAATTTAACATGTATGTAATTGTTTGGATAATTATATATGTAATTTTTATGGTAAGTGATATTTATTATAAATATATTTTGAAAATAAAATTAGAATGCATCAAGTCTATTTTTTTTACAAGAGAAATTGAAGTTTAAAGGATAAAGTTAGGTAATTACAAATATTGGAATCAAAATCCATAAGATGAGTGCATCTTTAAAATCGCTTAAAAAAAATTAAATTTAGACAAATTTGGAAGATATAATATTATAATTATAAAGTTTTAATGAACTTATTTATAATAAAAAAAAATGTTTCATAATATGGAACCAATTTCTCGGTGAAATTAAATTCTCAAAATTTCGTCATTGGCAGAAACACCCTTGGTTTAGCTGTGTCCTTCTTTCTCCAATTGGTATCCCACAACGTGAAGTTTCCAAGGACAAATGTGACCTTTTACAAAAGTTCAGACAATGAAAGCCAAGGTTTCCGGTTTCCAGAACCCGGTCCCAAACAAAAGACAAAAAAGAAAGTATACAACTTTTCTCATCTACAACCGTATCTAGTCACACTACTTACAACCTGGAAATAATCGCCGTCAATCACTCATCAAATCGGGGCCCACAAATTCCAACGTACATGATTAAATAATTCTCTACAACAGATCACATTCAATAACCTACCTTCACGTTTGTGTATCTTCATCGCTTTCCTACCTCCCAAACAGCTTTCTCCCTGTAATTTCGCCATTTTCTCTCTTAAAAATCACTGAAGAAAAACTTGAAACCCTGAAAAAGACCTGGTTTTAATTAAAACCAGGTCTTTTTAATAATCAATTTTAATATTAATTAATAACATTTTATATTAGATCTCTTTATAATCTCCTTTTTTAGCTTTCTCAATTTCCTTTTAATTTTGATGAAGTTTCAATTTTTGGTTTCTTCTCTTTCAAGCTTCGTTGAGCCTTATTTATCTTTCCACAATGAACAACCTTCTAACGGTAACGTTTTGATGCTCTATTTTCTTTTTTTGTTTTGTTTTATTTTCAAATTTTTGTTATTTATTTATCTAGTTTTGTTTGTTTGTGTTGGTTTTTGTTTGGATCTGAAGTTTTTGATTGCGATAGCGGCATTTTGGAAAATTCATTTGGATCGTGATTAACAAAGGAAAAGAAAAATTAAAATTTGGAGATTTTAATTTTGTTTTTACTGTTTGGATGCTGTGAAAATAGAGGAAAATTAAGTGAATTGTGAATTTTGAATGCTGAGTCTTATGATTTAGGACGCTCGAGAGCTGGAATTTTTTTTTAAAAAAAATTAATAGAAAATGCTTGAGTTAAGCAGGAATTGGATCAATTTCGAATTTTCATCTAGAAAAATTAATTAATTTATTATTAGTTGTAGGAGTTGAAGACTAGATCACTGGAACTTATAGCTTAAGCTTGTAACATTTCAAATTTTTTTAGAACAACTAAAGCGTGAACTTGTTCTATTATATTACTTTCCCTTTGTGTCAATAGAAATTTGCTTTTATTTATAGTTAGAATATCTTATAATGGTTACCTTTGTGAATTATTGGTTTGCTTAGAATGATCAGGTGATCTTATCTTTCTTGAATTATGCTTAGTAATTATTATCATATTTTGATTGAATTTAGTTGCGCTTACTTGTTTTGTATTTGTTACAGGAGTCATTTGAGTTCCCTCATGATCGAGGATTGCGAGGTGGAGATATCGAGTTGGGAGCTCAAATGAATTCTGGAGAACTGGGCCTTCAAAATTTCTTTAAAAAGGTGCTCTAGACTTCTTGATGTAATAATTGTCCTTTGTAAAATGTGCAGAAGTGTACTTGATGCAGTTGCAAATTTTATTTCTCACATTTGTGTTCCATCTCTTAATATTTATTATGTATGTGGACTTAAATTCTTTGTTATGGTATAATCCAGCTTGAATCACTGCTCTCATACTATGTTTTGTATTTTCCAGGTTCAAGAGATAGATAAACAATATGAGAAGCTGGATAAACTGCTCAAAAAGCTTCAGGTATCTGATTTAATATCTTTCCTCTTCCTTTTATAATAGAAGTGGTGTTTTTGCTTGCTGTCTTGAGTGTTTTTATTTACTAATTGAATTTTAGAAAATGTCCAATATAATTCTTCTCACAACTGACTGAAACCTTGTGGATTACTCACTTGTTTAGTCCTCCTTATGGAAGCGCTGGACAAATATGGAAGAAAGCTAAAAGATCTTTCTAAAGCTTTGATATAGATGTTCATTTGCCTGTCCAGATTTTAAGTGTGTTAATCTTTAGCTTTAATAGTGTTTCTATGGTTTTCAAAAGTACTACGATGGGAAAGGATTAGGTTCATACTCTTCCTCTAGCAGTAAGACCTAAAATGTGAGATTATGAAGGAATCTATTCTAGGTTGTTAAATTCCATTGTAATTTTGCCAAGTATTTCCGTTTCTTGTTTTATGACTTCATGCCTAAAACAATTCATTGGTTGATACTTACAGTTGAAACTTGCCTAACATAATTGTGTGGATGATTTATTAGTGATGAATCTAGCAAGCAACAATATTGAATATTGATCAAAATGTTTTCTGGTGTCATTTTCTTTCAAATCTTGTACGCAGGATGCACATGAGGAATCCAAGGCTGTGACTAAGGCTTCTGCCATGAAATGTAAGCAGTAGCCTGTTCTATGTTTTTCTTACATTCATAGTTTCACTAGAGCTGCAGGGAAAAAAAATGATGAGACCCGTACTTGAATTTTTTTATCACTTTGCTAGTGAGAATATGATAAAAGCTTATTCTTCATGTAATTAATTTTTGGTTCATTGTTTTGAACTCAATGCTGATGATTGATGCTATTATCATTTATAGCTATCAAGCAGCGAATGGAGAAAGATGTCGATGAAGTTGGAAAAATTTCTCGTTATATAAAGGGGAAAATTGAGGAATTGGACAGAGACGTAAGGCTGCTTATACTTTTATTTTGGTTATTTGCAGTCCATAGGTTGCTCATGTCATTTTCTTGATGTTTAACAGAACTTAGACAATAGAAAGAAACCTGGATGCGGGAAAGGAACGGGCATAGATCGGTCAAGGACGGCAACAACTCTGTAATCTACTTTCCATTGTTTATTGTTTTGTATTCCCTTTTAATATATGGTTGAAGCTGTTATGATTAGTAGTAACGTGGATCTCAAATATGCTTAGCAGAAGTCTGTTTATTTTGTTTTTCTTGTGTTGAAAAGTTTATAGTTTGAAAGAATCTGACACTGGTTTCAAGGAGCCATGGCTACTACCTTTCTTGATGATACTTCAAAAGAAATGATTGGTTCTAATTTATTGCTAGCTATGTGGGCGACTGGTGGTAGTATACCAAGTGATTTCTGTTTTATTTTGTTAAATTAACTAGAATAATGAACAAAAAACTAAATTGTATTGTATTCATTGATGAAGCTATAATGTCTAAGCTTTCTATAATATTGGAACATGTGTTGTTAGCATATTATATCTAACAGCGTTTTTAAATCTTTGCTTGCAAAGGGCATATGGAGCAAATTTAGGCTTCAAATTAAGGAAGCTTGTTTTTGTAACATGTTTCATTATTATTAAATTGGTCATGATGTTTAAATTAGTTACTAATGTTGGTTAATAATTAGGGCAGTATTAGAAAGAATGGTGCCTGTTTTTTAATTCGTAGTTAAGTGTAATTCAATAAATTAATGATTTCAAAACTCCATCCCTACCACCTCAGCCCCTCAAAGGAAAAAAAAGGTTAGGAATGATCTTAAAATTATGTGGCAAATTTTGTTTTGACCTTTATTGAAATGCTTTTTCAAGTTTTTGGGCTTGATGTGACTTTATCATATTCTTAACTGTCCTTGTAACAGCCATCTTTTTGTTGCAGTGCTGTGAAAAAGAAGTTGAAAGACAAAATGGCTGAATTTCAGGTCGGTCAGATTAGAAATTTTAGGATTTAGTTTATTTGCTCAGCTGCTACTCTCCTATTTTCTTAACCTTACTATGTTCTTCACTTCTAAAGACTCTGAGGGAAACCATCCATCAAGAGTATCGGGAGGTTGTTGAGAGACGTTTTTTCACAGGTTCAGATGCTCACCTGTTACTTATATAGCTATAATATTGCATGATAAGGAGCTAATATTTATATTCACTGGTTATTGTGATTTTCAGTAACGGGCACAAGACCAGATGAAGAGGTATGATTTGCTTCACTCCTGATATTATTTGAGTAATTCTCTATCCTATTTAGTACATATCTGATTGTTCAACAATATACAGACAATTGAAAAATTGATTGACACTGGAGATAGTGAACAAATATTCCAGAAAGCAATTCAGGAGCAGGGACGAGGCCGGGTTTGTCTTAAACTTCCTTATTTCTTCCCTAATACTAATAGTACTATTTTCTTGCTTCTTCGTCAATTTCAGGAAGCTAATATTTTTATTTCATCCCTAAAACCTTCTTTGCTTTGTAGAGTTTATTAGAAGGATATGATATAAACTATTTTAGAGTTTCAAAATTAAACTTTCATTTGACAGCTTGACTGTCCCATCTCTTAAGCTGCAGTGTCCTTGTTGGACTTTAGTGGGATTGTGATTTGATGGAAGATAAGTGATTAGAAATTGGTTACGGCTAAAATAATATTTGGTGTGTTTGCAGATAATGGACACTGTGTCTGAAATTCAAGAGCGCCATGAAGCAGTAAGAGATTTGGAGAGAAAGCTCCTTGAGTTACAACAGGTACCTAATCAGTTTGTTGCCTTGAGGAGCACCGATTTAATTAAAATATCAAAATGTAAATTTAGGGCTATACCTTTACTTCCAAAAAGTCTTAAAAGCTTACGAATAAGCTTCATTACTTTTGTATGTCACGGTGAAAAGCATATATGCTTAGCCATACAAACTTCAATTGTGTTCATTTTGTTTTGATATCTGCGTCCTATGTGTATACCCAAATTTATTATGAATTGGGGGCATTTAATAGTCGGATATTTTGAATGCTTTGGAGCAAGTGCCCTTCAGAAATGTTTTGAACAAAGAATCATTTCATTTATGTGCATTTGAGCAATATAAGCAAATGCATGAAAATACAGATAACGATAGGAATGAAATTGCATCAAAGATCCTATGGAGAGGACATAATTTTAGAATACATGATAAATAATTTTCCCCATGCAGATATTTTTCGATATGGCGGTGCTGGTTGATGCACAGGGAGACATGCTTGACAACATAGAATCTCAGGTAATTGAACACTTTTATAGAATCTTTGATCAACAATGTGAAAAAACACCAACTCTATATCTGACAAGCAGTACAGATAGTCCTCAAGGACCCTAAAACCTTGCAATTAAACTGTTTTACTTCATTATTTCAAATTTTCAGGTATCGAGTGCGGTAGATCATGTCCAGTCAGGGAATACTGCCCTTCAAAAGGCGAAGAAGCTACAGAAGAACTCCAGGAAATGGATGTGCATTGCTATCATCATCCTTCTCCTAATTATTGTAATCATTGTCGTTGCTGTGATTAAGCCCTGGAGCAGCAACAAAGGTGCTTAGATTGTGTCATCAATTTGTTATGTATAAAATATATATGAACTTGCTCGATGATCCTTCTCTCTCGGCTGGTTCTGTTTATAATTTTTGAGGTCTACAATACAAGCCCCCTTTTTTCTTGTGTGCCTTTGGTGATTGAATACTGGTATGATTGAAATTTGATAATTGTATTACATTCTTTCGATATAAAATATAATATTATGGTCCTGGTTGATTTTAGACAGATGTAGTTTCAATTTTCATTTTGGTTTAATGAAAATAAACATTGAATTTTTAAGTGATCATTTTGGTTGGTGAAAGCATCAAATACTCGTCTCTTGGTTGGATTTGAATCTGTCAAGAAATTGAGAAGATAATTTCTTATAAATTCATTAGATTTGATTAATTTTTTATAAATTCATTGAATCCGTCGTAGATAACTTTGCTCAAGTTTATATAGAGATGTGATCTTGCTCCCAAGCATTGATTAAAGCATCGAAAATGGTTAAAAGTAATCCTTCCCTTCAACAGTATCTGCCTTACATTGCCAAACAAATAAAATTGCTAAAGAACAAAAACAATTAAAAAAAATTCCAACTAATCACAAGGTAAAAGAATTGTAATAACAAAACTGTCTCTTCCACATCCTTTCTCTATGTAAATTTACACTCTTTCAACAGAAAAAAGCAGTTCAAGAGGCACAACAAGAAAATATTGCACCACCTCAAAGATCACAGCACTGAGTTTCATCCTCCCTCCCGATGCTTTAGCATCTCTGATGAAAAAATATCTTCAGCTCTTAAGGGGAAACAAGAGGCATTTTCATGCTGCAGGCCGTAACTCATCACTGCATCAAATCTTTCCACTGTTCTCATGTTAGAAAACTTTGATGTATAAGGCAAATAAATAACTCTTTGGTTTCTGTGACTGTAGATTTGCTTGAATCTATTAAAAAAGACAAAAAAAATTGACTACTGGAACTGTGAAATAAATGAATGGCTTTGGTTGTAACCCTCATGAGTCATGCCCCAAATATTTTCATTCTAGAATAATTCAGTGGAAACTGAATTCCAACGTTTGATGATATTAAGAGGAAACTGTATCATCTGTAAAACCAATTAGTCGTTAGGATCCCACTCTTCGTCACGATCGATCAGTGAAGTTAAGCTACTTGTGACATCAGCACCACATCATTATCATCTTCTGCCGATTCAGAGTCATCATTTCTAACCCCTTCAGTCCCAGCTGCCTGCATCCATTTGGGCCACTCCTGTTCACCTGCATATAAAAATCTGCCATCTTTACCTTTTAGTTGTTTTTTGATTTCAACAGAAGAAATTGTATAAGAGCATTCAGGAAGCGGATGTGACAGAAAAGAGGTTGGTTTCGACAACAGCGATTGCCTGATAAGGCCATCTTTACTCAAACTTCGGTTCAGATGCTCCTTAGCTGATAGTGTCCAATTACGCTTGGGATAGAACATATCATCGCGGGTAACGTTGAAATGTGCAGCAATAGTTTTCCTGTTTGAAGAAACAAAGTCAGACATAAATATAAAGATTAAAGAATTTTATTCAAAGAAATTTAGCTTGAATCTGGTAGCAGGCAAACTACCAACAAAAGGTAAGGGAAGCAAAAAAAAAAAAAGAAAATTGAATTTAGCTTTCAGCATATCAAACCTGTCTGGTCGATTTGTTCTAGAAGAAGCCCTCTCATAAAACCTCTGTCCTATAAGCAAGCCTGAGAAATCTGGCCATCCACTATCATCATTGTTAAAGCAAGCAAAGAATCCATGTGCTTTGTGTCAAACAATTAATTATAATGTCAATACTCATTAAAAAATAAATATATGTAACAGTATTAAAAAAAACTAAACAAAATGAACAACAAAAACTCAAAACTTACATACCACTGAAGCCAAACAGATCACCTAGTCTTGGGGACCATTGGCTCTACTTTGCATAAAAGGCAGTTCTCGGTAGATCAAAAGATAAACCTTCAGCAGTGTTATCGATTGAAAATGGAATTGTCTCTTCTTTGTTAGCTGAAAATCGGATTATCAGATCAAATAAAGAAGAATTTGTTGGAGGTTCTAGGTGAGGACTGGCTTGGGGATTGGTGAATATGTAGATGAAACTAAGAGTAAAGAGTTAAACTTTGAAATTGGGGGGATACTGCTACTTGGGGACATCAAATTACTTCCCCATGAAGAGGCAAGGTGCCTAAACAAATCATTAACATTTATTGTTATCATGCTTACATAGTTTATCTCATGGTTTGAGGTATATTGACAGATAGCTACATCAATTACACGCTGAAGATGTTAAGATCTATCAAGAATGCTAAACTTTGTTCGGATATTGTTAAGAAAATACACGTTGAAGATGTTGTTAAGATCTATCAAGAATGCTAAGTAAGGCATGATTTTTTGTTATAAAAAATTTTTAGTGTTGCATTATTCAAGTTTCTCCTGCAATTTCATGCTTACAATAATTCAACGAAGCTTTTATTTGACAAGCACGTCAATTCCTTGAGTTTTCAACAAGAGAGCAACTCCCCTTTGCCACGAATCTTAACAGATTCGCAAAATCAGTTATGTTATCATATGATTTCTTCGCTTCAAATTTCAAAGAATCTCCAGATTTCTTTCTTTCCAATGTTCGAACTCCAAAAGAAATTTCCTTTTTTTTTTCTTTCCATTTTTATGATTCGTATGCATGGTATGACTGGATTTACTTTTGGTTTCTAGATGAGGTGGCGTGCGTGATAAAGACCAAGAACTGGTCTCTCTGGTTGAAGGGGCCCTCAGTCTGAAAGCGACGAAAATTAATTGGTTATTGATGGTAAAACCTTCAAGTTCTGCCCTTTTTGTCACTGTTCCTTAAAAGAAAAGAAGAATTGATCCGTGGCTCTCTCTCTTTCGCACTGTTGCTTAATTTAGTTGGAGCCCTAGCGTCTGTAATTTCATGCTTTCTTTGAAGGAATGAAACTGTTCGATTCTCCAAGGAAGAGAAAGAACAAGTCTAAGCCTTGGGAGAGCCAGCATGTCCACCGATTCCATTTCCACTCAGCGCCGCCTCGAAGAGCTCGACAACATCTTAGACTCTGCCCTGAAACAATTCGACCCTGACCTGGAACCATTCGAAATCCTCATCTGTCAGCTGGATTCCTACCGCGAAGACCAGGTTTCCCGAGCCGAATCTCTCTTCTCTCTCGCTAGAAATTGTCGTCTTGATTCACTCTCCCTCGCTCTCTCCCGACTTCTCTCCTCTCCTCTGCCTGATCTTCGTGCCCAAGCCGCCTTACTTCTCGGCGAACATTTCACCACCGCCTTCTTTGAGCGCCTTAAGAGAACCACACTTGACACCCTCAAGTCGGCTCTTTTATCCGCCTTCAGAAACAAACTGTTTAAATTAGATGTCGATAATCTCTTCCAAACCATCTCCGACTTCCACGCCACTGGCAGTTGGCCGGAGCTATTACCTTTCCTGTTTGAGTGCGTGAATTCTCAAAGTCCCAATCTTCAAGAATACGCGCTTTTGGTTTTTAAGAGGTTGGCTCAAAATTTAGATAGCCATGCCGACTTAATTTTTCATTTAAACACTTTCCAGCAAATATTTAGAGAATGTTTGGATAATTGTTCGAGTTGGGATGTTAAGATTGCTGCTTTGGATGCTTCAATTAGTTTTGTTCAGTTTATTCCAAATCAGAACGATCCTAATAGGTTTGATTATTTATTGCGATTGATGATGAGGACTTTGACTAATGCTCTGAATTCAGGGTCAGAATCAAAGTCTGAGGAATCTTTGCAATTGTTAATCAAATTAGCAAAGACTGACCCAAGGTTTTTTGAGAGGCAGTTAGAGAAGGTATTACAATTGATGTTGAACATCACAGTTGATGATAGTTTAGAGGTAGACATAAAACATTCGGCGATTGAATTCCTGATGGCATTGGTGGAGAGTGATCCAAGAATGATAAGCAAGGAGCCACAATTTATAAAGAGGTTGTTTGATGAGTTAATGTATATGTTATTCGATGTTGAGTATGTGGATGAGGATGAGTATGAGGTTGACAATTTTTGGGGGACAAGTGATTATATATTAGCTAAAAAATGTTTGAGTAAGTTGTCTATTTTGTTGGATGAGAAGATGATCTTTCAGCGGGTTCTACGCTTGTTTTCACATTTGTTGGGTACTTCCATATGGCAGCAGCGGCATGCTACTCTCATTGCTATTCCAAAAATTGCTTTGGGCAGTAATAAGGTTTGAAGTTACATTAGTAATTGATTTGATCATATTTAATGTTCTATAGCAGTTTATTTTAGATCAGCAATTTATTTCACTTATTATTATCATAGAGTTCATGGTATATGTTCTGCTTTTAATTAATTGAATTTAAGACTTGCTTTGTTTGTTAATTATTATTGGTTGGATGAGAGAGTTTATTTTGATAAGATTGTTAACAAGTTTTATTTACTTCAAAGGTTTGAAACTGCCATAATTAATTTGATTAGATTTGATAATGTTTGATACATAAATACAATATATATATATATATATATATACACACGCACATATATACAATATATATTGTTTATTCTAGATGAGCATTTATGCATTTCTTGTATTTGATGTAAAATAGTTTCTCTATTGTTAATCTAATAAAGAATTCCTTTAGACATGCTTATTGGTTTGGAGGTAGAGCTAATTATGAGAAGATTGCTCTTATGTTTCATTTACTTCCAAATGAGTTTCGCTTATATTTTTACCTTGTTTGTGCAGATGATGCCAAAAAATATGGAAGAGGTAGTGCCAATGATTTTGGAGTCAGTAAATGATCCACATCCTTGGGTTCAATTGGCAGCTATTAATGCTATTAAACAATTGTCTGTGTGCTTATGTCCGATGTTCCAAAACCTATATCATGAGATAGTTCTAGTCACATTAGTTGAAGTCATGAATGAAGACCTACGTCCTAAACTACAGGTCTGTGCTCCCATTAGCATTTGATAAGCATTTACCATTGGTGCTACTGAGTTTCCTCTCTGTTATTTTCTTCACTGTTAATTGGTTGGATTTCTATATTTATATATGGTTATCAAATTTCTGCCAGGGGGAAGATGCTTGGTTGTTTTGTTTTATTGTATTTGTCTTCTTTCTGTTATTGCATATGCATTCAATGATAGTTAGATGCTAGCTTTTCATACTTGTCAATTATTCATTTTTCATTCGCACCACTCAGTTGATGCTGTTTGCTTTCTGGCAGTCATGTAATTTGCAAATACATAATCAAGATATTATGTAATAACATTTGGATTTTCTTAAAATTGTTCATGCAATCTTTAAATATTTGAGCCTTTCCTTAGGTTAGGACTTAGGATTCAGCCAGTCAGGGATATTAGATGTAACACATGAAAATAATCAAAGGAAGAGAAATATTTTTTGTTTATGTGTTAGCGTGATGTGGTGTAAAAGATGTGGCTGGTGAAAGTCTCTAAGAGAATAATTATCTTTACAGGCACTGGTTATTTTGCATACATTTTAAGCAAAATTAAGGTGAATTTTCTTTTCCATTCAAGTGTTATGTTCTCAATTGTGCTATCCTAGAATGAATGGTGATAATGTGTATTCACTTCTGACATCACAAGTTAATTATGGGAGTCTCCAACAACTATCCAAGACCAGTAAACATGCCTTACTGGTTAAATACTTGATTCTGTTTTGGTTTTTTCTTCTTTTCATTTTCTAATCAAAATTGTTTAGGATAAGTTAAGCATTGAAATAGCCAAATTGGTGAATGTATTAGTTACAGATCTAATAATATAATATGTAAAAAAAAGGTTTAACAGTGTCATAGAAAATATACTACTGAAGTTTGAATTGTTTACTCACCTATTCCACCGCTTCCCAAAATGAAGAAGAATCAAAATTTCAGTTTTTGGAATCTTTATTGATGCACAATGTTTGGTAAATGTTCTTCATAATTAGTTATGTGTTCTAGAAAAAATAGCATGGTATCTTATTTTGATTCATCATTTTTATCTTATTTCTTCATTTAGTTGTTTGTAAACTGTATTTTAATAGTCATGTTTGTTGTTTCTGTGACATAGGTCTCTGCTACTTCAGCGGTCCTCAGTTTCATGAGATATGGCGATGAAAAAATCCAAGTTTTTTATAAGCGGACAATTTGGCATGAATTCTCGAAATTCATTAGGGTACATAATCTTTTACTCGAATATGACATTTGTTTCTGAAATTTTTTTTTTTAATTGAGTTATGAAAGAAAATTTTAAACTACGGCATAAGATATAACTATCATCAAATTTATATTCGAATCATAAGTTGTCCCTTGCACTGCAGACTATACCTTTGTTTTCTTAGTCCAATTACTAGCATTCTTTCTCCTCTTTAACTACTAGGTAAATTCTAAAGAACATCTTCATTTTTATAGCTTTGATGGTATACTTAATATAGAACATGTTTGATTAATATTTGACTTTTGATTTTTTTTGCTTTTCTTCTGTTCTTACTTCGCCATCTCATAAGTTGCCTCCATGTCACACTGCAGGCTGGCCACATCATTGGTCATCCGGAACTACGGATATTGTCATGTGGTCTTGTCGATGAGTTCTTCAAGTGTTTAGAAGATAAGTTCTTACAGTGTTCAGAAGATAAGTTCTTACAGTGTTCAGAAGATTTAGCAAAACTGCGAAATTCAATTTCCAACAACCAAATTGAAAATTATATTAATGATCTTAAAAGTTTGCTCAGGTGGTTCGATGTTAAATGTAATAAGTCAAAAAATAAATTAGAATAAAATACTATGTGTTAGGAATTTAGTTATGAATTACAACAATTTAATGTAGATTTAATAATTTATGATTTTTATTATGTTCGTGTTGCATCAAATATAAAAATTATTATGTTAAATTTTTATTAAATACATATAATTTTACTAAAATTTTAAGTAGGTTTTTTTTTTTTCATAATGAGTGTCGAGTGTTTAAAATTATCAAGAATTTTTTTTATTAGCAAATTTACCGGATGAATCTAACGTACATTGATTCAAACTGCAAGGTGAAGATAATGTTCTTCAAATATTATATTTAAAAAAAAAAAAACTCTTTCACCGTTTTTATCCAATAGTTGATTAATTAATTTAAATCTTGGTTAGATCATTTTAATTTACCAAATTGTCATTTGGGTTAATAAATTAAGTACTATAGTCTTTTCAAATGCACACAAATTAATATAATTAATCTTAGTTAATAATGAGTTGCTGCAAACTAGTGAATAAAAAACAATAAAATTTTATGATCCATTAGTAAAATATTTCACCCATATTTGAAAACTTTAAATATTATAAAAATAAAATAAAATTTCTTTAACTACAATGAATTATAATTGACAACATAAATTTTAATTTATTTAAATAATATATAATGTAATATAATTTAATTTTAGTTCTTTCGTATAGTCATATTACTCATGTATTAAAATTTTATCAAAGATTCAAATTAGAATTTATTATCAATATTTTTTAAAAAATAGTTAAAATATTATTATAATAATAATATTATAATAATATTATTATATTAAATATTACATTTGATTTTTAAGGGTTTGAATTTTATAATGTAAAAAATAATTTAATAAAATAATAATTTATACTAACAATAAAAATTATCTTTTTCTTAAAGTTAATGCTCAACTCTTAAGGACATAAGTTTTCAAAATTGAAAAAAAAAGGCTAAACTTTTGAAGAGAGAAACTTCCGGAGATTGACATGGATAAAAAAATTAAAAAAAAAAAAAAACAATGAAAAAGAGAGGAAGAGGAATCAGTCGCTCACTTCATAGAAACTTGTAATTTTAAAAATTATCTCAAGATAATCATTAGCAAAATCATTTTTTATCTAGACAAGTCTACGATCATTGATCAATAAATATTGTTGCTAATAAAAATTAATTAATATTATTAGACATCAGATTTAAAAAAATATTTAGTCAATAATTTGATAAAATGTTAAAATTTTAGTTTTAATAATAAAATTTCAATTCTAAACAATCTCAAATACACAAATATAAGTAAATAATTGATTAATTAGTTTATTTTTGACCTCTTAAAAATTACTCGCAAGTCAATATAATTATTTTTCTATAAAAAATTTTAAATGAAATTTGTGAAATTCAATGTTAAAAATGATCTAATAAAACTTTTAAATCTAAGATCTTTTAATTTATGAATTTCAATTTTAGATTAAAATTTTTAATGAATCATTTTTAATATCAAACTTCACAAATTGCAAAAAAAAAATTTATTAAGTCTTATCTCTCTTTGTAATAAGAAAAAAAAATAAAGTTCTCATCTATTTAAGTTAATTATTTGATGAATAAACAAGGTTTGTAATTACATTTAAAATTAAAAAAAAAAAACTCATTAAAAATTTTTTAACAACAACTTGGGCTTCATTCATCAATCCTTTTGTTTTTTCTTTTTTTATTAAATATTGTTTTTCTTAAATGGAAAACATCTGTTTCCAATTACATACCTCTCAGTTTGTAGTAAAATATTTAATCACCCACCATACAGAAAATAATTGGGAAATCTTTACTTTCTAGTTGTTTCTGTTATTTTTCTGGGAAATTTTGACTTGCACTATGTTAAATCATGGCACAAGGCAGAAGCTTTATTAGACATTGAAAGGGGCCACATCTCACAGGACAGAAACTATAGGTTCTCACAAGTACACTTAAACCTACCCACGTTCAGAGCAAAAACATACAAAGGTAGACAAATTCAAGACATGAAGTACACACGGACAAATTTACAACAGTCAAAATAGCTGATGAACTGAAATGAGTTCAGGAACATGATGGGCCATTAGTTGCTGCTTTCATGAAATATAGATCTAGTAATCTTCTGGTTCTTCTTCGTCTTCAGCACCTTCTGCCCCAACTTCCTCATGGTCTTTCCCGAGAGCAGCAAGATCTCCACGGGCTTCTGAGAATTCACTTTCCTCCATTCCTTCACCTACATACCAGTGAACAAATGCTCTCTTGGCATACATGAGATCAAACTTGTGGTCAATTCGGGAGCAAAACCTCTGCCAATCATGCATAGTGGATGGCTGATCATGCATGCTGCACATTGTACCTTTGCGAGATCACCCCCTGGTGCCACAGTGGGTGGCTGAGAGTTGATACCACACTTGAAACCAGTAGGGCACCTGAAATAAAAGATTAATCACAATCATTCAGATAACAAACCAAAGGCAAAATCAATGTTTTCCCCTTGGCGAACTCTATGTAATAATGACAATCAGATTGCTTATACATAATTATTTGGAAATGAAATGTAAGAGATGTCTACCAACCAATATACTAACCGAACGGTCCGCTTAGTTTTGATGGTAGCAACAGCAGCATTGACATCCTTAGGTACAACATCTCCACAGTACATTAAACAGCAGGCCATGTACTTCCCATGCCTTAGATCACATTTAGCCATCATGCTTGATGGTTCAAAAACAGAACTTGTAATCTCAGGAACTGATAGCTGCTCATGGTAAGCCTTTGTAGCTGAGATTACTGGGGCATATGATGAAAGCACGAAATGGATACAAGGATACAGCACAAGATTAGTCTGAAACTCTGCGATGTCCAAACTCTGCGATGTCCATGTTTATGGCACCGTCAAACCTCAATGAAGTGGTCAAAGAAGAGATAATTTGGGATATCAAGTGGTTCAAGTTTGAATAAGTTGGTCTTTCAATGTCTAAGGATCTCCTACAGATATTGTATATAGCTTCATTGTCAAGAAGCACAGCAACATCATTGTGTTCAAGGAGAGAATGAGTTGAGAGCATGCTATTATAAGGTTCCACAACAGCAGTAGAAACCTGCACAATTGGGGATAATTGTTCAGTGAATTGCAAACACATAATAGTTCAAGCATAGGGAAAAAGAAACCTGTACTTTTCCTTGAAGTCTTCAAGAAATTACCTGAGGAGAAGGGTAGATGGAGAAGCCAAGTTTTGACTACTTTCCATAATCTACAGACAAGCGCTCCAAAAGCAACGGCCCAAACCAAAACCAGTTCCACCACCAACAGCATTAAATTCGAAAAATCCTTGAAACCAGTGCAGTTATCAGCCAATTTTCTCACTTAGTCAAGGCAAAGATCCACAATTGCCTGACCAACTGCAGTATACAACATCAAAGAAGTTTAAGCCAGTGATCAAATCTAACAAAATTGCTAGTACTTTGGAAATGCAGAAAAGATGCTTGTACCTGTATAATGTCCTCTAGCAAAGTTATTAGCAGCATCTTCCTTGCCAGAAATAAGTTGCTCCGGGTGAAAGAGTTGTCTATAAGTCCCTCCTCAAACTTCATCAATGACGGTTGACTCTGGATCAACAAATATAGCTCTTGGCACATGCTTGCCAGACCCAGTCTCACTAAAGAAGGTATTAAAATCATCGCGGCAAACACCTAAGGTGGTGTCACTGCAAGCAAACACAAATGAGTCTATAGGTTAGGTTATTGAAATGATAGAGGGAAAACCATAATTCAGTGATCCATTTATAAATCCCATTCTATGTTTATGTCCACTTTGATCTGAAATTTATATTAAGAAAAATAAGTAGTTTCTGGCATGCATTTGTTGCTATTAAAGTTGTACTATACATCTGAGTATGATAAGCAAAGAGTAAGGCAAGTAGCACAAAAGAAATGACACCAACCAAAAGGAGAAAATTGCAGGGCAAGACGTTTAATCAAATTGTTCAAAGTCCCCTACTAGAATCAATAAAGTAGAGGAAAAATTGAGAGGAAAACTATAAGAACATAACTACATAAATTAATATAATAATAAGAATAAAGGAAAACAGAGATGCATTATATTAGAATCATGTCAATTCATAATAGATCCAGGGCAATTTTTTGAATTTCAGTACATACAATTCAACAATGTGATCCTATCCCTGTAAGATGTTCAGTTAGAGCAGACAAGGCAGCTAGCCATGCCAGTTCCCCAAATGGTGGAAGATCAACAGAAATCCTGCACCACCACAGGACATAGCTCTGGTGACTTCGCCATCTAAGCATAGGAAATGCATGTCAAATGGAAATTTATGTTAATAAAAAAGAATTATTTAAATTCTGTACCATTCACTTCAATTCAAACCAAATATCTCATTTCCATGAAACAAAACTCACAACAAAAAACTTTCTAATGCTTCCCGTTCCAAAGAAACACCACCAGGAAAAGACAATATGATTATAAAGCAGGATGAACGAGCATTGACATTTGTTCTGCGAAGGAGAATATTATTCATTTTGCAAGGTTATCAAAACCAGAATGAATGGTAAACCATTAATAGAGCCCAACACTGCTATGCCTATAGGTGCCCTGGAAGAAAAAAAAAACAAAAAAAAAAAAAAAGAGAAGAGAAAAACAGAAGAAAAAAGAGTACCTGCAGGCTGAAAAAATCAAAATCAGCCCTCTTCCTGAATTTAATAGGATACTTGCATGCTGCCTAATGCCTAATCAAGGAGTAAAATACTGCCTTCTATACGAAGTTCATATGATGGAATTAGGGACTGCTTAGATATTTATTACCAACCCCTACAGATTATAAAATTTTTTGGATTTATTGCACCAATATTGGCTGGGAAGAAATCACTCCATATTAGAACTTTGACAGTCTTCAAATTTTCTGAACTACTGCATGAATATATTGACCCGTTGAATCACTAGACATCAGATCCACTAGCATGGCTGCTACAGATGCATTTGCGAAAAATCCTTTGTTAACCATTTCACAAAGAATTTGTACTCCCCCAGATATGTCATTGTTTCGAAGAAATACTGTAATCATCACATTATAAGAGCAACTATCTGCCATGCAACCATCCACTTCCATTTTACTAAACAGTTTGTATGCTTCATTCTGCGGTCCTTCTTTACAAAGCCCTCTGATCATTATATTATATGCGTAAACATCAGGGTGTATCCCTTTGACTTTGTGTGCACAAAATAATTTCCTTGCAACTTTAAGTTGCCCAACTTGACACAAGCCATCAATTAAGATAGAATAGTGGACAATGTCAGGTTCTAACCCACTATTCTGCATTACATGAAAAAGTCCCAATGCCTCATGAATATGACCACGCTTGCATAAGCCATCCAACAAAGTACAGTAAGTGATCACGTTTGGAACTAGGCCACGAGCACTCATTTCTTTGAAAAGTTCTTGTGCGACTGCAAGTCTCCCAACCTGTGACATGCCACCTATAAGAGTGTTGTAAGTAACAACATTCGGGATTAATCCATTTCGAGTCATTTCATGAAAAAGTTCCATTGCCTCATCAATCCTTTTAGCTTTACAATATCCATTGATAATGATGTTGTAAGTAAATACATCAGGTACACAACCCTTGTTAGTTATTGAATTGAATAATTTTCTAGCCGCATCCATTTCACCTTGCAAACAATATCCATCAAGCAATGAACTATAGGTGACTATATTAGGCTCAACACCTTGTTGAATCATTCTTTCAAAAATATTTTGAGCCTCTAAATCCCTACCCTCTTTACAAAGGGCATCAACCACAATATTATATGTGATAACATTAGGTTTGCAGTTGTTCGCCATCATTTCATTCAATAATCTTGTAACCTCCTTCCACTGACATGAATTACACATAGCATGAATTAAGGAATTATAAGTGACAACATCGGGTGGAATGCCTTTACCTCTCATTTCTGAGAAAAGCTTCAAAGCCTCGGTTACATGCTTGTCCTTACAAAGACTGTCGATGATAGTGCTGTATGTTGCACTGTCAGGTGCAAAACTTATTTCTTCCATAGTCCTTAGCAATAGATAGCCCGAGTAGTGTCACCTATTTTACAAAGACCATTTACTATGGTATTATAATTGATTAAATTAGGCTGATACCCTTCTCGAACCATGTCATCAAACAACCTCACAGCTTGAGCTACTTTACCTCCAATGCAAAGTCCATTGATCAAAGTGGAGAGTGCTATAGTATCTGATTCAATGCCCAACTTCAACATCTTCCCCAAAACCGAAAACCCATAGTCCAAACGATGCAAGCGGCAAAAAGAATTTATCAAAATGCTGAAAGTACAAACATTAGGATAAATTCCTAGCAATTCCATTTTTCTCAACGGAGTAACCGCAGTTTCATAATACTTCTTTCTAACAATGGCCCCTAATAATTGATTAAATTCCACAATAGAAGGACGTGGATGCATTTGTAGCATCTGATCATACTTGTTTAAGGCACCATCAATTTGATCAAACACATACTTGGGTTTCTTCTTGCAATGGGTAGTGGAGAAATAAGAGATTTGGGAATAAAAGAGAGAAGTGGCAGATCTAGGGTTACCCGATCCCAATTGTCGAAGATGATCAAAGGCAGAAGAAAAAGAAGAGAGAGAAGAGCTCCTCCAACCCCTCATCATTATCATCATCGTCATTAAAAACACAAACCGAAAGCTCCAATTCTTCTTCCTTGAGCGGCTTCCTTGTCAGATGAGTCAACTACGCACTGGGCTCAAATGATAAATTGCCGTCAAAAGTCCAAAGTTGATTTCGGACCCACGCCTAATCGATGCGGTCCATTTAAACCATTTACCTGTTTCTAAAGCCGGGATCGGATCTAGCCAATTCAGGGCTATTTCGGATCCATCATTCAAAATCTTGTCTATCCCAACTTGGATATTGAGGCTAAATTTGGACCGCGAGTGAAATTACATCTGTTGAGATTGAAAATAATCATAGAGGTGATATTAGGTAAAGTAATAGTAGGATTAAAATCAATATTATAATATACGTTTAAATTTAAAAGCAAAGATGTTGGGAAGATAAATTATAATAAAAAATAATTATTAAGGAATTTAATCTAAAAATATAATAATAAATTAATTTATATATATATTTAATGTTATTTAATATTTAAAATTTTGAAAATTTATTAAATCAAAATATTGACATATATTAAATTATATTAAAATAGTAATTAAGATCAAATAGAATATATTAAAATAAATAATTCAATGAAATTCTTAGAGCCAACTATATTTCTCTGCATTTTTTCTCAAACCTTTATGTTTACTTTTTTATATTTTGTGATGTATAAAGTTAAAATTTACAAAAACATTTATTTTTCTCATTTATAAGTGTTGATTATATGTTAATAAATTTTAATTTACAAACTTTTACCTTAAATTTGCTTTTTCAATAATCACTTTAATTTCTAAAATAGATTTTATTTTTCATAATACTAATAAAAATGGTAATTGATAACATTTACTTACAAGCTTTAAGTGACGGTATCATATACAATGATACTATCTCACGATTTTACATACACCAATCTTATACAAAGAATGATTGGCAAGTAAATATTTTACTACTCTATTTTAATGCTTATTTGCATCTTTCTTTTTTAAAATATATAGAACTTGTTGTTTCCAATATGTAGTACTTTGCATGAGACCTTTCATCACCAGACATTTATATTAACATTTAGCTATATTCTTTACTTTTAATATAATATATATTATATATATGATATTTTTTGAATATGTTATTCTTCTTTAAATATTATTCTTCATATTTTTAAAATTTATTAAATTTTTAATAAAAAATTTAATTTTATAATGATTTGATATCTTAATGATATTATATGTATTTTACGTATATTTTGAATATATAAATAATTAAAGAATGTTAATTTACGTGTCTATACACATTTAAATAATTAAAGACAATTATTGTATTACATGAGTTATAAATTAATTTATTATATTTCATTTTTTATATAACTTTTATTGTTTTCAACTCTAACTACAAAATTCTTTTAAAATTTTATTTTTTATTTTTCATGTTATTAGTATTATCTATACATTTTTTACAAATATAACGACATGTATATTGCATTTCTTTCATGTTTATTATATCTCTATTATCATTATTTTTTTTATTATAGTTATTTTTTTAATCTCATCAAATTTTAATATTCAAAATTTCTTTATAAAAATATTTATTCAAGCAATTAATTCACTTTATAACACTTTCATTTTAAATTTTTTAAAAAATTTTAAGACTTTTGTACAAACTCACACTTAAAAACTTGTATAATTTGATGTTGCATTTAATGTTACATCTTATTTGTCTTGGCTAGCTCAGCTTTTGGCTCGCATGCTTTCTTTCTAGGGAAGTTTTGCCTTAAAAAGATTAAAATCATGCATTATTAGGTTTACATTAATTTACATAAATAATTATTTGTTATATTTGAAATTTACAAAATTTATGATGATATCATATTAAGATATCAAGATAATTTTTATAAACTTGGTTTAATGGGATACATGAAAATTGGATTAATTACCTTCACTAAACAATTTGTAGTTTAATCACTACCAGAATATATATATATATATATATATTGTTTATTCTAGATGAGCATTTATGCATTTCTTGTATTTGATGTAAAATAGTTTCTCTGTTGTTAATCTAATAAAGAATTCCTTTAGACATGCTTATTGGTTTGGAGGTAAAGCTAATTATGAAAACATTGTTCTTTTGTTTCATTACTTCCAAATGAGTTTCACTTATGTTTTTACCTTGTTTGTGCAGATGATGCTAGAAAATTTGGAAGAGGTGTGCCAATGGTTTTGGAGTCTATAAATGATTCACATCCTTGGGTTCAATTGGCAGCTATTAATGCTATTAAACAGTTGTCTGTGCGCTAATGTCCGCAGTTGCAATACCCGATATCATGAGATAGTTTTAATCACATTAGTTGAAGTCATGAATGACGACGCAAGTCCCAAACTGAAGGTCTGTGGGCCCATTAACATTTGATAAGCATTTACCATTGGTACTACTGAGTTTTCTCTCTGCTTTTTTCTTCACTGTTAAGTTGTTGCATTTCTATATTTATATATGGTTATCAACTTTTTGCTAGGGGGAAGATGCTTGGTTGTTGTGTTTTATTATATTTGTCTTCTTTATGTTTTGCATATGCATTCAATGATAGTTAGATGCTAGCTTTTCATACTTGTTAATTATTCATTTTTCATTCACTCCACTCGGTTGATGCTATTTATTTTTTGACAATCATGTAATTTACAAATGCATAATCAAGATATTATGCAATAACATTTGGAATTTCTTAAAATTGTTCATGCAATCTTTAAATATTTGAGCCTTTCCTTGGGTTAGGACTTAAGATTTAGCCAATCAGGGATATTAGACGGAACACATGAAAATAAACAAAGAAAAAGAAATATTGTTATTTACATGTTAGTGTGATGTGGTGTAAGAGATGAAGATGGTGAGACATTAAGAGAATGGCTAGAAACAATGGAAGAAGAGCCGACAATCTATTCACGTGTATCATGAGGAAATGAAAATGTGACTAATGATGATGTTAAAAGTTTGCTCAAAGCGGTTTGATTTTAAATATAACAAGTTTGAAAATAAATTAGAAGAAAGTATTATGTATTGAGAATCTAATTATTGATTACATCAATTTAATGTAGACTTGATAATTTATACAGTTATAATTATGTTCGTATTGTATCAAATATAAAAAATTATTATGTCAAATTATTATATCAATAAATAAAATATAAAATATATTTATTACTAAATATATATAATTTTACAAAAATTTTAAGTTTGTTGTTTTTATGTTTTTTTTTTTTTCTTAATTCTTGGTGTGAAGTGTTCAAAATTATCAAGAAATTTTTTTATTAGCAAATTTGCAGGATGAATCTAATGTACATTTGATTCAAATTGCAACATGAAGATAATGTTCTTCAAACATTATATTTTTAAAAAAATACCCTTACATCGTTTTTATCCAACAATTGATTAATTAATTTAACATTTGGTTGGATCATTTCAATTTACCAAATTACCATTTGGATTAATAAATTAAGTACTATAGTATTTTCAAATGCACACAAATTAATATAATTAATTTTAGTTAACAATGAGTAATGGTGAACTAATGCATAAAAAATAATAAAATTTTATGATCCGTTAGTAAAATGCTTCACCCATACTTGAAAAATTTAAATGTTATAAAAAATAAAATCTCTTTATCTGTAATGAAATAATTGACAACATAAATTTTAATTTATTTAAATAACTTTATAATGTATTATAATTTAATTTTGGTTCCATCATTAGTTATGTTATTCACTTATTAAAATTTTATCGTGGATTCAAATTAGATTTTATTATCAATATCTTTTTTTAAAATTAATTAAAATATTATTTATAATATTATAATATTTTTGTATTAAATGTGATATTTGACTGTTAAGGGATATAATTTTATAATAATAATTTATACTAACAATAAAAATTATCTTAAGTTAATGCTCAACTCTAAGGACAAAAGTTTTCAAGGTTGAAAAACAGGCTAAAACTGGAAGATTGACATAGATAAAAAATTATAATAAAAAAATGAATAAAAATAAAAAAGAGAGTAAGAGAGAATCAGCCACTCACTCTATGAAATTTTGTAATTTTAAAAACTATCAATCATTAGCAAAATCCTCTTTTATTTAGTCAAGATTGACAATCATTGATCAATAAATATCATTGTTGATAAAAATTAATTAGTATTATTAGACATTAGATTTAAAAAAATCTTTAGTCAATAATTTGATAAAATGTTAAAATTTTAGTTTTAATAATAAAATTGTAATTCTAAACATTCTCAAATACAAAAATATAAGTAAATAATTGATTAATTTATTTATTTTTGATCTCTTAAAAAATTACTTACAAGTCAAGATAGCTAATTTTTTTATAAAAAATTTGAAATGAAATTTGTGAAATTCAATATTAAAAATAATTTAATAAAACTTTTAATCTAAGATATTTTAATTTATGAATTTCAATTTTAGATTAAAATTTTTAATGAATTACTTTTAATATCGAACTTCACAAATTGCAAATAAAAATTTTATTAAGTCTTGTCTCTCTTTATATTACAAAAAAAAAAAAGAAAAATTCTCATCTAGTTAAATTATTTATTTGATGAATAAACGAGATTGGTAATTACATAAAAAATAAAAAAACTCATTAAAAATTTTTCAACAACAACTTGGACTTTATTCAGCGATCCTTTTTTTTTTTTTAATTAAATATTGTTTTTCTTAAGTGGAAAGCTTCTGTTTCCAATTACATGCCTCTCAGTTTGTAGCCAAATATTTAATGACCCACCAGACAGAAAATTATTGGGAAATCTTTACTTTCTAGTTGTTTCTGTTATTTTTCTGGGAAATTTTGACTTGCATTATATTAAATCATGGCACAAGGCAGAAGCTTTATTAGACATTGAAAGGGGCCACATCTCATAGGACAGAAACTATAGGTTCTCACAACTACACTTAAAACCACTCACTTTCAGAGCAAAGACATACAAAGGTAGACAAATTCAAGAGAT